AGCTCCAGCACTTTTTCGACCTGGTTCACCAATTATCTTCGCAGTGTTTAATGTCCGAACTTTGATGCAAATCGGACGACAAGCATGTCTGGCCCGCACTCTTGAAATGCCCTCGGTAGACATCTGTTGCCTTTCAGAGACCAGATTACAAGACTGTAGCGCAGTCGTTAGAATGACCTCTCCGGTAAACCCAGACGCAAAATACCACTTGCGGCTTTCCGGAGACCCAGAAGCTGCTGCATTTGGCCAAGCTGGTGTTGGGGTTGCACGGAGTGCCAGGGCTGAGTCACCTCTGTTTGTCTGGATCCCAGTCAACAGTCGGCTACGCGTCGTCCGATTAAGAGGTACATGTACTGTAAGTAGGCGTCCAGACGTTAAGCTTGCCTTGTTTGTGGTCCCCGCCAACACCCCTACAGACTGCAGTCCGGTTGCAGTCAAGGATAACTTTTACCAGCAGCTAAATGAACTTTTGCGTTCCTCCAAAAGGATTTTTATAATCATTCTTGCGAGTACCATCTTGGGGGTAGTTTTGGCCTCGGTAACAGTCGGTCAGACAATGGAGACAGACTGTTTGTTCTTTGCTCTTATCATCGCTTGTTATTTTCCAGCATTAGTTTTCGGCACGCCATGAGACACACTACTACTTGGTGACCGACCTCACAAACGCAAGAGTGCTCCCAGTTTGACCACATAGCAATCAGCTACAGGTGGCACGGAAGCGTAACGGATTGCCGATCGTACTGGTCAATTTACCTAGATTGCGATCACGCAATGGTTCGTGCTAATGTTTGCATGCGTTTCGGAGAATTACAGAAGCGTGCTCACTACCGACCAAACGTTGCAAATCTACACAACCCTATTGTTTAAAACAGGTACCAAGCTTCACTGTCAACATTGCTTGGCTCAACTATTGACGGTGACCCCGATTCGCAGTGGGCGCAGGTCAAAGATGCCTTATTTTCCGTCAGTATCGACACTAAAGTTGCCCCTCACCCACCGAAGCATTAGATTTCCGCCGTCTCCTTGTCGCTGATGAACAAACACCGCTTGATCCCGTCGAATTCCAGACACAGTGAAGAACGTCAATCCTTGGGTCGAGAGTTGCGCAGGAGTCTGCAAATAAGCCGCAAAGCTTGGTAGTGTGAACGCGCTAGGGAGATGGAGCGGGCTAGTCTCTCTGGTAATACCAGAAAACCTTTCTATCTCGTTCGAGTCACTGAAGGTGTTCGATCTGGTATAAGCAAAACAATATGCGAAGAGGATGGCACCTTAATTACCAATCTTCAACAACGGTTGCAGCGATGAGCAGAACATTTTGGCTCGCAGTTTTGTTGGCCCTCAGCGCCATCTGCTACCTTTGGCGCTCGCACTGGTACTGAGTGATCTACACCCACAAATCCTCCTTCGTAATAAGAAATCAAACAGGAGCGCCGCCACATAATGCCTTATAAAGCCCCCCGGCCCTGTTGGTCTGCCTCCAGCTCTATTTAAAGATGGTGGCGATTCGCTGGTTCCAAAACTCACTGCTTTGTTCTCAAATGTTTGGTCGGAAGAGGAAGTACCCTTATCTTGGGGTGAGTCAACAGCCTACCCATCTTCAAAAATGGCTTGCGCACAATCTGCTCCAACTACAGAGGCATAAGATTAGTCCCAGTCGTTTGCAAGTCGCTGGTATCCATCATACTTTGCAGGCTATCCTCAACCCACGAATCGTTGCAGCAAGAAGAACAAACTGGGTTTCGTCCTGGTCGCGGCTGAATCGAACAAATCTTCCCACTCCGCCATATCCTCGAGCTCCGCCATGTATATCAGAAACCAAGGCTTGATGTGTTCTTGGGTATCCGTGCAGCCTTCGATTTGGTCGATCGGACGATACTGTGGTACTGCCTACTGAGGAATGGCGTCCACGAGAACTTCATCTCCATACTGCGCTCTCTCTATGGTCTGACCTCGGGCACGGTTAGGGCTTATGACAAGCTTTCGCTTTCCTTTGTGGCCTCCAGTACAGTTTGAGAAGGATGCCCTATCTCTTCGCCCTTATACAACTTTGCCATTGAAAATGTTCTAAGGAACGCTCTGGGCGACTTGTTGAACGCTGGCGTTGAGCTCCTCCCAGGTAGCCAAGCTGTTATTTTAAACTATGCTGATGGTATCGTCTTGCTGGGCGACGATTCACACATAATCCAAATTGCACGAAACCACTTAGCGATTGAAGCATCGACATATAGTGTGCACTTTTCATCATAAAATGCAAGGCTCACTTTCAAGACTGGCAGGTGCCTGTGCCTGCACGCACTCTTGGTGGTCAGACACTGGAGGTTGTGGAGAGCTTTGTCTACTTAGGAACTTGCATCACTGCTGGCGGGAGACGAGATTTCTATATATTTATATATATAGGCATCCTAATGTTGGCCAGTTGAGTGTTGCTTCGATTCCCAGGCGTTGACTAATTCACTTGCTCTTTGGTTTTTGCTTTTGCTTCACCTATGACGAGGGGCCATGAAAGCCCCAAGGAAGCGGTCTCGCCGATGCCGCCTTATCTTTTGAACGATAGCTAGCTGAATGTAATGGTATGTTGTCTATACAAGGTGTAGACGCTTTGACCCTGAATGTTTGCTTAGAGCATTAGGGTTTTCAGGTAAGTCCACCTTCTCTCCCTATCATTATTCTTTATTTCATAGGTTATCATGGTTGTATGGCAGCGAAGCATCAGTGCAAGTGGCTGATCTACTGCTGTTGATGAGGATGACTTGTGCTCATCAGGTCGAATTGGTGCAGCTTAGTTGATCGATCGATAACGTTACTAATGTTAATTATGAGTCAATTAGGACACTTTCGTCAAATATGCGGTGTTCAAATGACACCGCATTTCGGATTGTTTGCCTAAAAGGTGCCTTAGCTATGCTGAAGCCGAATAGTTGGTGGACTGAATTTTAGACAAGGTATGAGTGACAGCTTAGAGAGACAGACGTCCGTGAAGAAAAATCAGCAGCGTTTCGCTAACCGAGCGTTATGAGTAGCCAATGAGCGTTATAAACCGTGTACTGAGTTTAGGGATTTTAAAAGTGACCTTGCACTACTGTTGCTACTACAGTGGCTTTGTATCGTTAAGTTGGTGTATGTGTACCACGGATAAGCGGACTGTAGGGTTGTTTTAGATCATACACTGTCCCGGAAAGTCGGGGGTTTGCTAATATCTGTTAAGTCAACAAGGTTCAGCCACCAACTAACTTCCATGAAATAAGATTGCAGAGCAAATCGTACGTAAATGTTTTTCTCTGCCTACATAGTATGACACCCAAAAACACAAAACTTATTTGCCACAAAGATTTAGCGTACTTTTTCGTTGTTTTGTATCGTAGCTACTTAGCCTGCTTGGCTAGCCCTATAAGAGCGGAAACTTTTGCCCGTGTATTTGTTGTCATAATGTAAAATGATATCACAACGTTTGCTTTTATCCAAGGCCGTTTTTAAAATAATCTTGATTTACACAGTGCATCAGGCGAGTAATGACAGTTGACATCCCATACGTTTACAAATTTATTCATCCGGTATCGCTAGCCATTACCCAGAAGTGATAGCGCACAGAAGTTGGAGGATACCCAATACTCAGCTCAGTACAGTGAGATAAGCGCATAAATCTGCTTACAGAAGGAGAATGAAACAAAAAATCCACAAAACATGTTACATTTATGAGCAAATGTACCAGCGTTAGCCTTATAATATCTTCCTGTTGAACTTGCTCGGAAGATGCGTTTAGGACTCATGGAGTTGCATTTATCCATTGTACAGACAACTGTATAGCGCAAGATCGTGCGCTATATATTCGGTATGAAACCAGTCGGCTAACCAAAAGCAATGGGTAGAACACACAAATTAAGCTGATGCTAAAAATAGGACACCAAGTGAGAGCTAGCTAGGGAGAATGTAGTTGGCGTCGAGTGCGCTGACGGAGCGTCGTTCGCAGTCGAGTCGCGCGCCAAAGGCGGAGATCGTATTCGTGTTTCCAACAAAAGGGAACAACGTCCCAACAGGCAAACCGCCTAATTCCCTAATACATAAGAAAGCTATAATTTGAATATATTTTAGGATAGTTTACACAGTCATATGGGGGAATCCCCAGGTCACTACAACTGTACCGCATGTTAGCCTGGTTTGTCTTAAATGCCAGACAATTACAAACATTCATATAGCTTAAAGCGTCTCATCTGCAGGATTACTGCAAACCCCTTTTCTACCAGTACTAGATTTTACAATGCAAGCGGTAGCGTAAATGCACCCAGCATGATTACGACAGGCAGTCCCTTATTGTTGCCATGAAGAGCAGCAATAAATGTGGCATATTTAGTAATTCTTGGGTCCGCAATACTGTAAAGGTGCAAAATCGCTATACTACTTAATGTTTAGAGGGTCCCCTTTACCGGAAGCCCAGAGAGCGATTCGAAAAGGCAGATCGAGTTGCAGGGAAACTTTTATTGGCACAGTAAAAGATTCCCTGTTATCTAGCTATAAAAGAACGACACCGTCGACGCTCTAGCTAGGGGAACGGACAATGCACAGCACACAGGTCAGTCGCGAGTTGCAACCGAAACGAGCGCCAAGAAAAAATGGCAGTGAGCAAGTCAAGCATTCGAACTCAGCAATCAGTTCAACCAGCCACACTGGTTGCCTAGGTGTACAATTAAAGAATTTTAGTTAGAATTTTACACAGGCAAGCCGGGGAATCTCCAGACTGCTACAAATGATACAAATTTAGTATTGTGAAAGTGCGCAAGTAGTTAGAGCACATGTAAGCGCTAAATAGCGGTTTACGAATAAAATGGCAGAAAATGACAGCCTCATGTTTGCTTGCATGGCCTATACAACACAGCAAGCAATAATGATAAACATGGAGTTAAAGGTGTGAGGTTGTGCTAATCAGAACAGTAATCACGCAATAAAACTTCAAGCTTTGTTTAAGCTTTCTGCTACGACTAGACGCATCCTAGCAGATCACTCACCACAGTCATTCCCAAGAGTTCTCTTTTAAAACAGTGATAGTTACACTTCTCTAACTCGTCCAGGTAAGCCTGCAGTCTTGCATATGTGTACGGGTAGCAATAGCAAAACTGGTAAACATCATCTTCGCGATCGAAGCAAAATGCAAACGACATCACATAGTATTTCTTGTGTTCCGGACAGCGGTAATAAAACACGTTCTTATTAGGAATACGAATCCTTCCAATAAGAATAAAATGAAATAATGCTCACCAATTAGGTCGACTGGAGGATCGCACCAGGGGTGACATTCCTTCGCGATAAAGGGATTTCGTTTTGCTAAAGTTAACAATATTAAAAATAACTCTCTTAGAAAATAATGGGACAAGTTACAACCTACCTGCTGGTGACTAGAGTTTTCAACGGTAAAATTGAACCAAACCCTGTACTTTGGATTGCATGTATCGGCCCTTATATGCAAGTCATACTCATAGTAACTTATAGCTTCGACTTTTCCCAAATTTCCTAAACCAAAGTAACTAAGAAAAAGACATCCCACCGCTCTCAAAACATGCATCGAATATCAATTGGCCCCTTTTCGTTTTTAAATTTTGCCCAAGTGGTTTCACCGTAAGCCTGTTAACGTTACCGGAAACAAGCTCTTCGATTGTATCAGAATCACTGGCAAAAGATTCCATTGATTTCGATCTCATTAATTTGACCAGTGATTGCAATCAGAATGGGGCATATACAAAAACAATCGGTGCCGTGTAATTTGGGTACGCCGGAATACTGCGATTAGTGTTAAGGAGCGACACGCTAGTTTGTATCTTACAGTTACTCTGCAGATTTACGAGGTCTAGTTGCGATTCTTAAGCAGCATACTTTTAGCATATTCCACATAAAATTACGCAGTTAGTACGACTTAGTAAACTGTTACTATGCAAGCTTACACAATTTAAAAAGCAGATGTACATTGACGTTAATTGTGATACCGAAAATATTACCTAATAAGGAAATAATGTTTTAAAATAAGCACAGTATTTGGATTTATATAAAGCGTCTACAGTTACAAATTTGTAAGTTGTACGATGTTGCCAAATACTCTAATATGCATGTTTTTGACGGCACCAAGATTCACTTTATTACCTTACATGTAGACGCATTTATGTATGAAGAAAAGCATTTGTAACAAGAAAGGAAAATTTCGTGGTACCGAATGATTGCCCGCCTTGTCAGTTAGTGTTCAAGTGTTTTCAAATCTTGGTATATTGATATTGCCAACTTGTTCTAATATCTTATCGCTTTTAAACTAAAAAAAATTTGGCAGGCTTCCTGAACAGCAATATTACTTAAGTTGCTTTTTTGAACATTATCCTTTATTACCGATGGGGACATGATATGATTAGATTGTCTGTCCTTAGTGGTTGCAGAATCATTTAGGTCATACAATCGGTTTTGCGGAGGCATTATTATTAACGGGATGATAAGCGAAAAGATGTCCTAGTATAAACATTCGAACTAGTTACCAGCTAATGACGTTAATTCTTAAATCGCTGGATTGTAGTGAGCAAAAGAAAATCTCTTATCAGCTCCATCACTTCCCGATCACTATGAGGTGACCGGGATTAGTTTCTAAGCGGTGTGCCCCAAGCGGTTCCGTGGCAGTCACAGTGGAAACTGCAAGCACCTGTCGTACTCAAGTGTTAAGAGTACAAGGTTCGCTGGCAACATAACTCGGTCTGGGCATTGATCACATGCTTCAGTATGTCATTCCAGTCGTTGACTTTGCAAGTTGACTGAGCAAGTGCAATACTTGCTCGGAGCCTCCTGTTTTAAAGCGTTTCCAGTTTTGGCCTCGAGATGAACTGTTAGCAATGCCTTTAAAGTACGCCAGCTGCACCCTCTCATCTCTGCTCTCAGGTTGCGGCTGGTGAAAATCGGGTCACCGCAACGTCGAAGGTGATCCAGGGAGAAAAGTTCCATCCACCGGTGCGCAGGAGCACCAGTGTGGAGTACCTAACGTTTGCCGTTCGTTTTATTCAAGCTTAAGGTGGTCCTACAACTTTGTAGTCCGAATACCCAGACGCGGTGTGCATGAGCTTAGGTAAATAAATAAGTCTGTTTCTCGACCGCGCGGGTTACGCCTAAAATGGATGGATCATAGTAACACTGAGCGTATACTCACTAAGCCTCACAAGTGTTACCATGTAACCAGCACATACGGGGGTTATCTCTTATGTACATAAATAAGGGAATGGTTTACTAAACATGTTGAATAAATTTGTTACCGTTGTGTTGAATTTGTGGTTGTGTTCGGTAAATGTGCAATCACAGTAATAGATTGAATAATATCTTCGGAATGGATGACCTCCTTGAGTGGTATAAGAGCCTCCGGAAAGGCAGGAAGCAATGACTTTCTTTAGTAGCGAGTCATATTCGCCAAGCCACAGTACTGTTAAAAAGACATTTGTGAATTTTTTATCGGGAGAACGCTTGTCAGGCGAATACCTGCAACATCGCGAAACACTACCGCCAAACTATTCACTGGAGCAGGATTAACCCGGGCCACCTAGCGGACACCACGTGCGGGTTGTTCGCCTAGCCAGCTAACTGATTTCGGTCCCACAATTTTCGACTCCTGTTCATTGGTCCCTTAGTTCTCGATCAATCCATGAGGACCATTGTCAAAAAGTCCACTTTTGTAGACCGGAACGACCTGCTCGACGAGCAAACTCATTTTGGAGTACAATAAGTTCCAATCATCGGCCCGGGCCAAAGGTTTGAACATACTCCAGTCCACAGCACGTGCGACCGTTTGCAGTCGTTGGGGATCAGCCAGCTAGAAATTTCGGCGGCGACCTTAGTTGTGAGCAGTGAAGAAGGAACCCACACCGTTATCACGTTTACCAATGAGTTGAATGATGGTCAAGTCAGTGGCGTATACTTGGCCAGGGACAGTCCGCTGCGAAAAATTATGAACAATGAGCAACGGTGTAGCATGGGATAAAAGCAAGTGCTTCAGACGCCCAGTAGGATGGCTTGGATGAATACGATGAATTCAGAATGTACCTAAGTTATTTAGCGTACGCCTATTGAGATGAATGCCTTGATAAATAATGTCGGTGTGACTTGTAGGTCCATCGTCAGCAAGCAAAAGTACAAGGGGTGCAGTGGTCGTTGATTTAAGGCATGCGAAAACAAAACATTGTCGCTTTGTTGCGCTGCCTTCTTGGGTCCATGCGACAAAATAACCCCTGAGGAACTGCATAGTTGGCGTACTTGAAAATGACGCAATTTAGGTATCTACTTGTTAGGAGTTAAAAGCAAAATCCATTCTTTTTTGAATATGAGCAACTGCGTCCGGGAATGCTTTCCAGGGTTGGCAAGCCCGAAGGATAAATAAATTCGTCAATACTTTGGGCGGCTATATCCCTAGTTCAATTACAATTAGCTAACCCTAAGCTGCGCGCTGTGGCTATTTTTCAACAAATAGCGGTACACTTGGTTGGGGTCACGCAACTTTGGTACGCTAATAGAAGTTCGCCGCGCAGCCTTCGGTAACGTCCGCTGCAAACCCTTGGCAAGTTCAGCCTTCGGTGCTAAGCGTGATTGCGCATGCCCAGTACGCACTTTGTTACGTTCCGTTGTGGTGCCTCAGACGCCTTTAGGCCACGCTTCAACCAAGGTTGCCAGGCTTAGTTAGCGTATTCAACGTGCGTGCGCACATGGCAAAGGTATATCCTTGGAAAGCTGGATGAGTCAAATCACCCGTATGCCCTTCGCGGCTTGCCGACTTGCTGGTTGCATCTTTCGCAGCTACCTCAGCCTGTTTTGCACAAGTGATGTCATACTGTACGAGCGCACCATGGTCAAGTTCCTGGGAGCTGGTCTGCAATCCGTGTGCCACCAGCAAATCCTGTAGTCCTCTATAGAGTAATTGCACAGTACGACCTTTGTCTACCTTAAATGATAATGCGACTTGAAACGACATTTTCAACATCATGGTAAGATCGCACTATAGTCTTTCTTTACCGTCTGGTCCTCTGCTAATGCGCTATGTCCTGCAATTATCAAGGAAAGTAGGAAGTCGGAAGCAACTGATCTCGCTAAAGCATTAATGAACAACAACAGTAGACGAAGCTCAAGCACCGAGCCTTGTGGTACACCACATTTCACATCAGTTGCGGCAGAATGAGGTGCCCGGGTTCTTACCTCCAACCGACGTTCGCGTAGGAACTTGCTTATCCGACTTAAGATTGGGTCACCCAGTGCCATAGTTCCGCAGTTTGTGGAAAGTAGTTCAATGGTCTAAGCGATCATACGCCTTTGAGAAGTCCAGGAGGATGACGTCGAATCCTGCAGCATCATCGACGACTTTAGTCCAGCTATTATTGCTATTAGCAGGCAGGCGGTACATGGACGCTGCTGGCGGACGTCATGTTTAACTGAGACCATAAAGTTGCAGACTTCCAGATACTACAACGGCGCATCTGGAATGGTTGATTCACAACGTGGGATAATAAAGGAGGTAGTGGACAATAGTTGGTACGGTCAGGGCTGCTACCTCCTTTATAGATGAGAGTGATAACCTTTAGCTGCCGTACTATTGAAAAATTGTTCTCCATTAAGCCTTTCTGATAGAAAACGGCGTGGTTCTGCTAGATCACTGGCTACTGCCTGCAGGGTCTTCGGTCGAGTGTTGCCGATTCTAAGAGAACTGTGCATACGCTAGGTCACCGACTTCGTCAGAACAGCTTCCGCAATAAAGGTTATGTTGTATAAACCCGACGGCGGCGTAGTAGAAACGACGAGAATATGTGGTCTGGTTAGGTGCTTGAAAATTTGGGAGTAGTAAAGTCGTAGGAGATTGGCTATTTCCATTGCTGACCGCGTGCATTCCTCAGCCGTGACCAGTACTGGAAACCCAGGCTTCAAGTGTAGTAGGCCATTAACGTGTCTGTACAGAGGTTTGCTGTTCGTGCAAACGACCTTCATTAACTCCTACGGCTCTGTGACATTGTCCTCGCGGATCAATTTCACGCAGAAGTCACGATGTGTCATGTAGGCAGACTAGCCTTCGGCTTTTGAGCAGTTCTTGCGGGTTCGCCATGCCAACTCCATCAGGAATCTACATTTACGTGTTCTGACACTCAGCAATGCGTTACATTTGTTTCCGCGTTGGAAGGCCTTCTGTTTTGATGCATGTACGAAAAGCGTTCCAAACGTCCTTGTAAACGTTTCTCAGACAAAGTCTGGGGGCATTCGGTTAAGCAAGGCCGTTGTATTCTGTCACGTACGCACTTGAGTATCGATAAGTAAACACGTGACTTCAGAGAAGTTGTTGAGAATGAACTGGCCTTACTTTCCTTAGTTCATTGCTTTAACTTTCCGGCTTTTCTAGCCAAGGTTGCCAGAGATACTTTTAGTAAATTTGTTTCATACTAAGCGTCGCGCCCTGTACCATTCATAGACTAAGGGCCATACTTAACATTCTGGTGACGAGGTTAAGCTACTGCGGTGCAGCACCTTCTTACCCCTGTTCCTCACTTTCACTTTTCTCTGATGTCGGGAACTTCATTGAGGTCCGTGAAAGACTTGAGGAAGTGCTCCCTCCTGAGATAAATATAAAAGTTAATTCTATTCTCGACGCAAAGAGACGCCAGTACAAGCGTGATACTGAGACGAAATAACCAACTAGCACTTACCGGAACTATGGCCTTATGTCCAAACCAACTTGATGCACCCAACAACAACGACTGACGTTAAATGATTACAGCTGAACACGAATTCCTCACACACCAGCAAGTGTAATAAACCAGAGATAGTGAGACCCCAACTACTCACTAGCGGGCCCTGACTGAGCTATCTGATAAGCCAACAGAGGAGTCATTCGACTGCGAATAACTCA